AAGGAAAATAAGACTCCAAGGCTGGGGGAATAATTAACAGCATTTCAATGCCTGGATGAGATTTTTTTTAACAGACATTTTTTTTTGCTGTGTGGTTTTCTGCTGTGATGTGACACATTTGCATGTGCATTCACTTCATGAAAAGCATTTCATGACCCAGCTTTGCTTCCTTTTCAGAACTGTTTATGTTCCATTTGGGTCTCTGCAGATGTGCCAGCACAAAACAGGGAACAACACAGCTTTAGAAACAATACAATCCTTCGAAGAAAAAGTTCTGCAGAGCTTTCACAAGAGAAAGGACCAAACAGCCAGACAACAGCCAGTCTGTTCTCTTTGGTGTGCCATGGTTTGATATGTCTGATACTGCCTCTCCTCCACTTGCCTGTCATTTCCAGCCAAAGATGAGTTCTGTAATGAGAGGCCTTGATGTTTCATTGCAATTCACCTGTTATCCCCAACCCTCTTCTGATGATCTCAGAACATTTCCCTTTCATGGGCAGTACTTCATTTATGTGACAAAATTTTTGTAGCAGGAGACTGCAGGGGTGGTTTCTGTGAGAAGACATCAGAAACTGCCCCTATGCTCACTCCAGACAGCTCCAAAATGAACCCACCATCGCCCAAAGCTCAGCAATGCTGGTGGTGCCTTGTGATAACAAATTCAAGAAGGGGTAAAAGGAGCTGAGAGAGAGGCATGAGAAAATACAGAAGAAACAGGCCTACAGATACCAAGGTCAGAGAAGAGGAGGTGCCCCACGTTCTGCAGGACCTGGGGTGCCCCAGGTTCAGAGAAGCAGCAGAGGTGTGGAGGGCAAAGTTGTGAGCTCCTGTTTAACCAGCCAACCAATGTCCAAAATGAAACCTCTGAGCCCACATACACAAGCATTGTGTCATCTGAAATTACATCTGCCTCTTGAAGACAAGCAAATTGCTGTAGAACAGAAAGGTTATGGGTGGCTAGAGCGTGAATGGCAAGGGTATATTCTTCCTAAAACTGACATGGTATACTGAGTTTTTAAAAGAGGTTTTGAGCAGGCAAACTGCCGAAATTTCTCTATCATTCCAGAAATCCAGGAAGATCTAGATCTACTCTGCAGAGCCCACAGTTAAAGAACTACATTTCATCATTGGAGGCACAAGACAGACAGCAATGGGAGCAAAAAGAGGCCATGGGCTGGACAAACCCCGGGATTCCCAGCTCTGAACAATGCCTCTCCACTGCAAGTTGCAGGGCATTTTCCTACACTTGTCCCCCAACACCAGACATTAACTTCCCTATTTGGGGTGAGCAGTATCACTGGTTTCCCTGATTTTTGCAGAGCAGAGGGACATGCAATGGACAAAGCTGTGAAGGTGCCGATCACCACCATTGCCTGCAGGCTGGTGGTGCAGCAAGGCAAAGAGCAGCAGAGCACAGATTTTCTGGGGACAGTGGATCCCTACATGAAGACTGCTGGAATGCTGGACTTGAGATTCAGCAGGTTCCTATACGAGCCTGCTAGGGCTAATTAATGCTCCCCTGGGAGCACACTCCAGATGGAAGGGGAAAGTGAGAGACAGACAGCCAGACAGGCCAACACTTCAGACATCTGAGCCAGCTGGGCTCCGTGGGCAGAGCTTTCTGCTTGCCACTTTCCCCAGTGAGTCCTGCCTGCTCTGCAGCATCACACCAGGAGAACCTGAGACAGCAAAGCTCTGGTGTCCGTGCAGTTCCCTTGTTGCAATACATTGATCAGAGCTCTCTTAAAGAAAGTGGCCTGGATATCTGAGACACCTATTGATTGCTCCATTGGCTCTCTTCCTGCCCTGATCCTCATTCACTCGGCATTGCCTGAATAACCTGCACGTCTATGTCAGGGCCAGTCTCCCTGGATCTTAAAGGGCTACATTCACAGCTTTCTGCCTAGCTGCAGCCTATGCAGGGAGAAGACATGTCTGGTGACCCTTATGTGCAGTCCCCAAGGGGAGGATCCAAGTATCCTGCAGCATCAAGCTGAGCATTTCAAGTGCAAAGCAGACCTTGAAGTCACGGGTATTTGTTTTTTGCCATCTTTGAGTACTGATGCCTTCTGCTTCAAGAACAAGGTAACGCCACATGCCCAGCAGGCAGGAAGTGGCATCATGTATGGCAACAATAATCAGGAAAATGAGAAGAAACCATGAAGCCCTTAACTAGTTGCTAATGGGATATCATATTCTTCTTGAGCAAAAGGATAGTTTCTTTACCCAGAAACACCCCCACTGAGTTACAAGCCCAGTGGCTTGCCCAAGGACATCAAGGAGAAAACTGTGAAGAGAAGAACTGATTTCTAGATCTTGCCTTTAACCAAAAGACTGCTTTTCTACAAACTTTTGATAATCAAGCAGGACAAAGAACATGGCTTAGCAACCTTCTGCCATGCTGAACCCAGGGATGATGAGACAGGTACATCAAGGCAAAGTAGGAAGTGGATCTATTAAAAGGAAAAATAATCATAACCCAAATATCAAGAGACATCTTGTCCTAATGAGAGTTTGGAGACTGCAGAATAGGCTCTCTGGGGAAACCAAAACATCAGGGTTTCTTAAAAACAGTTAAACTACTAGAATGGTACAGTTGGGAGCACTCGTGCCTTGGCAGAGAAAAGGGATGGATGAGCTAATAGCATGACAGATGAGAGATGGAAAAGACCAATGGACCTTTTCTAATCTGAAATCCCTTGTCAATTCTGCATTTTGAGCAATTCAAACAATTATGGATTTGTTCTTTCTAGAAACTCTTGGCTCTGTGGAGACCAAATTGTGTGACACCATTTTTCTCTTTTCTTGGATTTGGCTTTTAAAGATGTGTATTGATTGAACTCTGTATACTAATACTTTGTGCTTCCACCAAGCTTCACATAAAGTTAACTAATTGGTCCTCACAATTATTTTGCAAAGCAAAGCAGTATGACCCTTATTTCTCAGCTTGGGATACTGAGCAAAAGAAAGAAAAAAAAAGATGCCTGCCCACCATCACTTGACCACTCTCTGTTAGGACACAGGACCCCCATTTGCAGATTGCTAGTCTCCTCTGCTCTTCTTGATATTATCATGTGCTCTTGTATCCCATTGCTATCAATAAATCTTTATGCTGTATTTTCCACAGCTCTAAATATTATGGGCAGGATCATAGATACACTAACATCAATAGCAAACCACCCTTCCCCAGTGACTTTTATGATGCCTGATCAATCCCTATATGAATAACTAAATACACTTCAGCACAAAAGCAGGCATAGAGTCAAATTTCAGTTTGCCACAAGTAGTATCCCACAGGGTTTGGGAGTTCAGACAGAGCAGGGTGTGAGTGAATTTACACTGTTTTCCAGATGAGCTCTGGTCTGGAAGGAGTTAACTGTTTAGACAGAACTTGGGGCTAAGACATAAAACCCTTCACTGGACCCTGCTCTGAACAGTGCTGAACTCCCAGAACTGGAAGCAGAGATCCCTGACCACACAGCCAGCACACCAGCACTGGTTCCTGTGACTGCTCCCCCAGCTGCCAGCTCCAAGAGGCTCAATGCTCAGAAGCAGGACAGCACAAACACTGGCAGCCAGCAAGCCTGAACCTGTGCTGCTGCTCTGCAGAAGGACTGGGGCCACTACAGGTGTGTAAGGCTGTTTTGTGGGATTCATATGAATAACATGAAATGTTAATGAATGCATTAACAACCTGCACTCCCACTACAGCCAGTGTCACAAGTGTGTATTGGCTTTAGTGGGTAATGGGATACATCTCCTCCCTGAACTATCATATCAAGAGAAGCAGGTTTCCTGTGGTGTCTAACTACAGAGTAGGTGCCTCCCTCCCAGTAGGAGACCAAGATCTTCTGAGTCTACCACCTCTACACCTAGGTCAGGAAGGGCTGAACTGCAGAAGCTTGCATCTCCTCCCTGTGGTAACTGGTATGCTCTAGAAGACATTTAACCACAGAAACGACACATCCATCAAAGAACAAAATGGGTTTAATGTCTAATCTACATTCTTAACAACACTGGCTGCCATCAACCTGCCTCTCAAGAAATGAGAGAGCTCTAGTGAGAAGCAATACACACTCAACTGACATTGTACAATTTATTACCAGCTGCTGTGATGTTATGACCTGGAAAAAAGTTGTATGCTGGCATCTTGGCTCCAGCATATAGGACTCATGCATAACCACAGCCAGGGGCTGTTTCGTGTGGTTAAGCTGAGAGGACCTCGCTCTGCTGGTATAGCAATGCAGAAGGCTATGTGCAGTGCTTCTCCTTCCTTCCCCTCCTCCTCTCACTGCCTTTCCCAGAGCGACCCAAGGGAAACAAACCTTTAAAGTCAATCCATAAGAATGTGTTTAATTGCCACTGAATTCCCTGTGGTTCCTCTTGAATGGACAAGGATTGAAAAGGGGGGTGTGGGAGGAAAAACAGCACAGGAGAGCAGCTGAACACTGCTCAAAGAGCACTGAACAGATCAATAGGCTGAGCCAAACACAGGCTGAGTATGCAGGGCAGGGGACCCACAGCTCCCAGACAAACCTATGCTACCAACCATCTTCAAAAAGTCTTCTGAGTGGTAATACAGGCAGACTTTCATTGCACACTGTGCCACAGCTCTGCATTAACTCCATCCTTCCCTTATGAAGAGCTGCCAACCTAGTAATGATCACAAAAGAGTCTCTCCTTCTCAACATCGAAAAATTACTAGAGTGCAAGAAGAGAAACACCCTCCAGCCCAGGGTTCCTTTGGGAAAGGAAAGAGTCTGGCACCACCAGTTTCCAGTTATTTAATAATGGAGCATGAGAGCACTGACTAGAACCACTGTTCTCTCTGGACTGCCCTCCTGGTCTCTGCCCATCCTGACTCTCTTACAAAGCCTGTAGAAGGATACGTTCAGAAACACAAAGAGGGCAAGCATGTAGTTAGCCTGGGGGATTCTGCAAGGTATGGACTCCCAGGCACTGTGGGGACAGAGAAAAATTTCATTCTGACTCTGTCTTACCTTCTTTTAGCATCCCCACTTTGAGGCATTTCATGAAGCGACAGGCCTGACAGGACTTGCGCCTCCGTTTCGTGATCTCACACTCATTGGTGGCCGGGCAGCTGTATTCAATATTCCCTGGAAGCAAACACAGAGATGGTCACCCAGGAATCATGTTCTCCCTGTGGATCCAGGGACAGGCTGCAGTGCCCAGATATTTCCACCACCATCAGTCTGTAAATGTTGCATGTTTGCTCATTCACTTACACACAGGTCCTCTGAGACTTTACCCTGCTGACCTAGCCAAGGGGATGACTGCAGTGCTGGGCTTTCAGGCACGTGTCCTCCAGGCATGCCATCATCCCTTGTGCTGCACCCCTTGAAACCTGGCCTGTTCCCTGAAGTCCAGGGATGAGAGTGGGAGCAGTTCAGACATTACTAGAATTTCCTTTGCTGCCAGTCTTGCTCCATGTCTGTGGGATGGATGTCACCTGCCCAAGTTTCTTGTCCTGCGTGGGCAACCAGGGAGCTCAGAGACAGCATGTCCTCTTTGCTTCCTCCTGCCAGCTGCCATACAACAGGTAGCAGGGAAGCAATATGTCTGCATTGAGAAAGGTGGGTAACATGTCCTGTAAAATGAACATGGGTTCTCTGTGCAAATCTTTACATTTATACTTTATTAGTCCTTGTGCACCTGCTCTCATCCTCTGCACAGGATTCTTTCCCTCTTCCCACTTTCCTCATACCCTTTTATTTATGATCATCTCTCAACACTGCCTATAAGACAAAATGACAAAGAAGCATCCCAAATTTCTAATCACATTTTATTATAAGCCAAGAATATAACCAAAACATGGATGCAAGGGTCTGACAAAAGGGTGTAGGTAGAATTATTCTGGATCACAGTGTAAGGCAACAACTATTTAGTACTAGAAGACAACAAACACAAATGGCTGTCTCAATCCTGCCATTCACTTTGAGCTGATGTTTCTGAAGAGGACTATGCAATGTTTGCTGTGGAGATGGACTGGAAATCTAAACTTGGCACTGATGCATTGACAATGACAATACATTTAAGGCAGTCTAGTTACTGGTAAATCAGGCAACACTGAAAAAGGTACTTAAGCTCTACACCAGTTTAATGATTTAGAGCAGGAAACTGAGGAAACAGGTTTGATATTTCAATAAGACCTGTAGGGAGAAGTGAAGGTAAGAGCTGAGAGAACACCCAGTATGGACTTTGTATAGCATCAGCTTAGAAGTACAGTTTACAGTTTAGTAATACTGGGGCAGGACTTGATTTTTATTCCTACTTTTGTAATGGATTATTGTGTTTTGTGTAAAACCATTCCCTCCTCTAAATAAAGATCAACAATCTGATACATATCAATCTCTGGGGGTGGTAAATACACCTTGGGGTTCACTAGGCTATTGGAAAGCCCCCTGGATTTCTCAGTGGAAAAACAGAGCACTGAATCAAAAGAAAGAAAGCACCATTTGTTATCTCATTATTCTTGGCCCATGCTGAGTGAAACTCCAGGAGCACAGAACTCCCAAAGCCTAAAGGTGGTCAGCCTACTAGCTATAAACATTGCTCCTCTTGCTTCTTGTTTTATCCTAACACTTGCAACTTCCCCCTAAGCTTCAGCCCAACCACCCCATTCCTTTCACCACTGCTCATCTGGCCCCAAATGCAGTTTGTCAGCAAGAGCAGAGTGTGCTGCACAAGTTGCTTCCATTCAGGCTGTATTTCGTCATCGTGCAGCATCTGAATTTCAATAGCCAGCCATGTATCAAGAGAGCTGGAAATTGAGATTCAAGCTAGATCTCAAGGTAATAAACCAATTCCTGTCCTAGACACAGAGCTCCAGCACATTACAGACCCACGAGTATGGTGGCCTTGATCTCATGATCAGATACTTGTTGTGCCCCACACAGGAACGAACAGAGCAGGAACAAATCTCGGAAAAAACTCAGACAGTCTCACTTTGGGAGGTTTTGCCTTTGTTTGAATGCCAACCTTTCTCACCAAAAACAGGATCAGAGCTCTGGAGAGATGCAAGATCTCTGTTTTATGGTCCAAAAGCCAAAAATTTGCCCCCTAACACAGAGACACTACAGTAAGGGCACTGAGCCTTTATAGCAGAGTGAGACAGTGACAGCTCTCATCTGGCAGCTCAAGGTCCCTCCATAGTGTCAAGCAGATCCCCAAGCTTCCCCATGCCTCTATTCCCTGGATCCTTTGACAAGCATAGACTGCAAAGAGTCTAGAAATCCCACATCACCACTAAGTGGGAGAGTGTCAGAGATGTGTAGGTACTAGTTACCATATACACACTCTGTGTGCAGCTCCAACAAGCAGCTCTCAAAGACACGTCTGTGCTGGGATCATGATTGCTAAAGGAGCCTCAGAGGAGATGAAGCACTGGGAGTTTTATATCAGGCCCCCAAAGATGCTGTGCACTGCAGAGATTGAGAGCCACAGCTGGGGGCAATGCCTGCCATTACTGCAGAAAGCAGGGGCATCACTAGGGAAGGCACAATCAGCATTACCCAAGCAGAACTCGACCAGAAAAAAACCTGTCATTTCCAAAAGTTTACCAGAGTTCTCGGATTTATTTATTTTTTTTTTTGTGTCTCAATTTCTTTTATGGGTCCTGGGGCTGGCTGCCAGCACAGTGAGTTGCTCACAGCTCCCTGTAATTTCTGTAAGTGCCCTGTGATAAAGTGATGAGATTAACTCATCGAAATTCCAACAGCCTCCCAGTGGCTGGCAGTCACACCACCAGCCCAGCTGCCAGCACAAGGGCCTCAGAGAGAGCTTCCCTTCACTGCAGCAGCTGGGGATGCTGCAAAGTCCTGCAGAAGAGTGTCAGCACACAAAGTGCACACAGACATGGAAAATCCTGTATGCAACTACAAAATGTGAATCAAGTCTCTCTGTGTCATGAACTGTAGATTATGTGCCCCAGAAGGAAGGGGCAAAAAAGGGGATAATTCAATAGACAAGGCCTTGCTTTGAGCTATTTCTTATCAGAGAGATTTCCTTTACTTAGAAAATATTTACATTTGATCTGAAAAAAATGGTAGAACCTCACTGATGCCATGGCACAAGATTTACCTTAAAATGGCTTCAAAAATCAAGTGGTAAGTGAACAGATCAGAGTTTGGATTTCTTCTAAACCTTCATATATCATCTTGGAGGTCAAAACACTTCCTCACCATGTCCTAGTTTGCTCATCTGCAAAATGAAATGAACACCAAACCTACCTTTTGGAGAGATTGAGAATCTTTTTTCATTAAGGTGTAATTGTACTTTAAAGCCCTTAGATGAGAGATGCTACAAAACAGCAAAGGACTATTAAAGTGGTAGATCATGCATTTTTATGCTGGGGAACTGCAAATCTACCCTATTTTCTGCAAAATTAGAGCTCTGACTTTTAAACAATTTGGAACATAATTTCTAGTGCACACATAATAGGAGCACCTGAAAATTGTACACCAAAACTTGGTCATTCAAGAGACCCTATAGTCACCCTACTTCTCTGGAACAGGATGGACTGCAAAGACAAGAATGCCTCCCTGAGCTTGGGGAGCACAGAAAAATCCCACCCATCTCCTGCTTAAATTAGGGATAGAGTCCTCAGGGGAACAGAGCCTGAAATCAGTACAGCACTTGGGACACAAGCTACTCCCTGCTTACTGATTTTACCTTTCTAGAAAGCCTTTCTGCAAGGAAACTCAGGAAAGACTAGATAAAAATAGCCAAGGAAGTCCTTAAATAATTTTCAGTTTCTGATTGCTTTAGCAATCCACACTCAAAAAGCCCATCTTGCTTTTTCTCGTTTCTTCTTCATTGCTGTTCACTTCAGTGAGTCCTTCCAGCTGAGGCATCATAGCTCAAGCCCTGGCGTGAGGAGAAGTACTTTGTGAAAATCAGAGGAAAATCTCTCAGTGATCTGCATGAGGTAATGCATGAGGTAATAAGAGTTATTTTTCAAGCCTCAGCTTTCAAAGAAAAGGATTCAAATAAAATGGGATACATATAGGTGCAACACCAGCACTGTTTGGCTCTTCAGGGTGGCACACCTGGCTCCTGCTCACAAAAGAAAGCATGGACATTTCACAAAACTTCGCTCAAATCAGCCTTGCACAAGCTTGCAGGATAGGGGTTCTGGGGCTCCCTCTCAGCAGCAAATTTGTCTATAGGGTTTCAGACACAGAAATATTTTACAGAACTTCCACAGAAAAGATACTTCTGCACAGAGCTTGCTGTATAGATGTACTGAGGCAAACAGAAAACTCTAGATGAATAGAGTTGAAGTTCCACTAAAGATGTTTTTTTTAATTCAGGTGATCTGTGAATAGTAAACAGCAGTCAACAACTAGATCATGAAATACTGCACTTTCCCTGGGTAAGCTTTAGAAGATTTTGGAAAGCTGTGAACTCCCACCTGAAAAGTAGCAGGCACACTTCTGAGAAGGACAGGACAGGACAGTGCCCAGCTGATGTGGCTGCTACTGTAGGGACACAAAATCTCCTTTGTGAGTGTGGATTGTAGCGCTCTTCTGCTCAGGAAAACCTCTGTCAACCACTCCTCTTCCTAGGAGCCACTCCAAGCACCACAACAACAACAACCAGAAAGCCCTAGAAGACTTTATTACAAGCCTATTATACATCCCTACAAGTCTTCTGAGCTGCATTATCCACCTTTTAAGCCTCTTACTGGTGTAAAGGCATCCCAACACAGCAGTTCTGTTGCTACACTCAGTTTGAAGCTTGCAAGACTCAAGCTGGAAATCCACAGATGCAGGCACTTTGCCTAACACAACTTTCCTATCCAGAAGATGATGGTAAATGTGCCTCTTTTCTCTGAATCTCCAATGTTTTGCTGAGCTTTGGGCTTTTATATTATAATAATGGGTCATTTTAGAAATAGCCTTTATTTTCACCATTTGAAGATGAAAAATAGATTTAAGGTAGTCATAGTCATGAGTATATTTAATAATAAAGGACTCATATTGTTAAACAGCACTATTATTAGTTAATATTCAAAGTAGGCAAAACTACCTACTAGTTGTAACAATTAATGAACAAAATAGAATGACAATATATTTGACCGATACATAATGCTCTACCTACTAAGCAAACTATTGAGAGAAGGAATAGACTTTGACTGAGAATTTCTATACTGTAAAAAAAATCCAGCATTTACCCTTGTCTAAATTTAGATGAAAGGACTAGTTAGGATTTCCATGGAACAGAAATTTAAAAAGGTTTATTTATAAACATCCCAAACTATCTTTTATGCAACACACCCGTTCCTTTACATTCACCTACATGAAATCTTTTGTTTCAAATCAGACCTCTCTTGAGCACCAATAGCAGCACACTTAAACATGTCTGAAATTCAGATTCTCTCCTATTTCCACTAGATTGCACATTTCACAATATTCACAGTCAGGTGAGGTAAATGCAAACTGCTACTAGAATATGAAATCCCATGAAACAGTACAATGATAGAGAAACAGGATTAAATTTTTGTCCGACAGTCTAGCTCAGACTGAGAATCTTCAGGTCAGTTTAAGATTTCTGACTGCTTCAAAGCATGGGAAGTACAATCCTGGGGATCAAAATATCATGTTCAGAGAGAAAGACCTGCAGGATGTGTTCTCCCATCTCACCTCAGGTTTTCACTTTTCTGTCTCATGCATTGCCAGCGCTGCCAAGTGGAAATGCCACACAGGTTTCCAGGCCTTGATCCTTGTGCAGTGTAACACAACATAAGAAAGGACAGAGGTGTGACACTTCCCCATAATCTCTGGGACCGGTTAAGGAGGTGTTGGGTGATCCTGTCTTCCTGTCCTAGCTCAGGAAAAACAAACACTCCATTTCAGCTAGAATGGAATCAATGGTTTGGATTTTCCTGCCTTTTTTTTTTTTTCCTATCATCAAAATTTTCCTTGAGGAAATTTGACTTGTTAAAAATTCCACTTTTCTTTGGAAAAATCCTACTGACAGAAAACTCCCACACAGCAGTATTAGTGACCTCAGAGATAACAGCTGTGTCCATGCTGCCTCTCAGTCTGTCTTCTCCCCATCATTTAAAAAGCAGCAGCTCTTGTGTTGTCCATGACAACCTGGCCTCACCTGGCCAAGTGAAAGTGAGCAGCAAAAAAATCATCATGCTTAAAGAAGGTCTGCAGCTGGATTGGACCTTCTTCCTGCTGCTACTAGAGCAGCAGAGGGAGTCAAAAGGCCATTGCAAGACACTCTTGCCTCAAGATATGCAGGTTTTATGTGGGTTAATGCAGCTTACAAAACCTTAATAGGCACAGGGTAATTTGTAGCAGGGGGAGGGGACAAGGCTGGTTGGAAGTTGGACTTCATGTGAAGCTCTGCTTCATGATCAGGGGTATCTAGAAAGGGCTGCAGTAGTTCGGTAACTCAGCACAGATTTAGACCCATTTCATGGCAGCATGCACGTGTAAGGCCAGCAGAGTAAGTACTGTCATAACATTCCTTAGTTTTTCACCTGTCAATACTCAAGCACAGAGAAGTGAAGTGGCTTGTCCAAGACCACAAAAGCCTGATGATGAATTTACCTATTTCATCTCTTGAGCATCTGGGAAATCCTGGGGTCATTGCTCCATCTCAGTGCTCAAACCTTTGAGTCAATCCCACATACTGAATCATAGAAAGATTTTGGTACTAGGATACTGGGAAAGAAGTTATACAACACGCACATCTGCATGCTTTCTGCAAAGCCTACATCATTGTTAGGCAGCCTGGATGAAGGTGTTTTCACTTTGTCTACCAGATGCTTAAAACAGCTACTGAATATAATGGAGTTGCAGGATAAACACCTTTTGGAAATGCTCTTACCACTTGCCTTCTCTTTTATATGACCCTTCAGTCCTTTTCCCCTGCACAGGCAGGGCTATCCTTGGATATCCAGCCCACAGCAGCAGCACCCTGGGAACAGTGCGTTTTCTTGACTCAACCAAACTCTGCAGACCTGTTTGCTGCCTGCTTCCCTGGGTTCAGCTTTCAGCTCCATAGCTGAAATTGCTCACCCTCAGGCACAGCACACTTGACTCTCACACTCTCAGGAATAAAAGCATTTTGGTACCTCAGTTGCCAGCCCAAGCTGATGACAGGGTGAGAGAAATTTCCACTTACTCCTTTCCCCCCCGTCTGCTATATGTTAACAGGCAATCAATTAGGGAACCACAGGGAGAAAGAATATGGCTCTGCTAGGGAAAAGAAGATGGAGGGAAGAACTCTCCCCTCTTGGGATTCAGTCAGCTGGCATATCACCTGGCTGATACAGGCTCCATGTTCTGCTACCATGCATAATTTTCTTTTGAGAGTTTTCAGAGAGAATCAAAAGTTCATATGTCTTTTTCTCCTTCTCAGGATCTCTTCTGCTCTGCCACAGAGGTCCTCCACTATCACTTCCACGAAGGGTTAATTATCTGGTCTTTTCCTGTATTGGAAGACACCAGGACTTTGCTTCAGAGTGCTACCCTGTCCCTGCTTGAGCACCTGAATGTATCTAAAAGGAACACTAAGAAAGGTCCAAGGGCTGTCAGTGCTGACAGAAATGCAAGTAAAAGTTCACATTCAACAGCAGAGATTCAGCAATGACAAATCACAGAAACTCTGCCAGGGAACAGGCCAATGCCCTAGAGATGGCCATAAAGAAGGAAGTATCAGTGGGGCAGAGTAATTATTTCCACAGTTGGATTTCCACATTAAGGGGAGATATCTGAAATCTATGAAAACAAGATAGATATAGTGACTTTTGCAGAGACCTGGGATAAACTGCACCCTGTACTGTTCAAGAGTTGAACATCCCCAGCAACAGGGTGTAATCAGATCCATTCAATTAACAAAGTGAGTGGTCTCTCCACATGTGAATTTCTTTCATTTCACAGGAGGCAAGGAAGTATTGATGTGGTGGACTAACCCCAGCCAACAGCCAAGTACCTGCACAGCTGCCTCCTAACTGTAGACCTGCCTTCAGCCAGCATTCCATACTTGGGCAAACCCAATACACCTCCCACTGGCAGATGAATGATCCTGTCCTTTTTCCAGTTAGTGGAGGAAACAAAGGGAGTATCTGTACATCCAGACATGTTTGTTCACATGGGACATGTGTATATAAGTTTACCCAAGCATCCACGGATATTGGAAGTTGTTTTTATAATCCTGCTTTTGATTATATTGTAGCTGCACCATATGCACATCTGCAAGCACACTTTTGGCACACTGGAAGTTGTTTGGATGCACTCCTGCTTTTGATTATATTGTAGCTGCACATATGCACATCTGCAAGCACACTTTTGGCAGTCAGGACACGGCCATACTCCTCACACGTGAATTGTACATGAAGGAACAATACACTGCAATTCATCTACACATGCGTGCATTGCGGTTTTCAAAATTGCCTGAGGAATTGCTCATCCTTAGTGAGACTGACAAAAACTTCATCTTCTTCAATGCCTAGCTTTTTTATCTTCAAAGAATCAGCATCTTAATGGAAAAGGTTGGTGAAACTAGAAAAGGAGAAAAAGACTGACTGTCACAAAAGTTCTCTGTCCAGAATTGTGCTGGGGTTTGTATGGAGTTCATTGCTATATATCAGGACTGGTAGGATGGTAGAATTTCTCTACTCTTGTAATGCTGGAGCTTTCACCTTAAGGTGCAGATATGCCTACATAAATTCCAACTCTTGGCAGAAGCATTCAAATGGGCCTTAAAACACCACTAAAAGGCAAATAATTTGCTTTCCAGGCCTTACTTGACTAGCTGCCACATTCTCATCGTATCAGTGCCACTAGCAAGGGCAGGAAGATCCACTAGTCCAGATACCCAGATCTGGTAGCCAGTCAGGCATGGAACTTGGGAAAGGTTCCTACCATCACATAGCCTAATTCCATGTCCATGTTGATTTGGAAGGACCAGAACTGAGCAGGAGGAGAGAAGAAGCACACAAAAGGATGCAGAGTTAGGTGCATTACATTCATTCTCCCTTTCCCCCTTTTCTATAACACCACAGTCTCAGTAATGTCTGGGGCCTTGTCCCTTTATTTCTATGGAGCGATCGCCTCAGTTTGCATTCCTTCCCACCATACCTTGAATAGTCCTCTTGAAGAAGGCTTTACATGCCTCACAGGAAGCCACGCCGTAGTGGTACCCGGAAGCAATGTCCCCACACACCAGGCACAGCCGCTTGGGGATTGCATTGAGCATGTACTCGCACTTGGTGGGTGAGTCCTCCATGATGGCGCTGGCGCAGTCATCGTAACGCTTTCGGCAGGACCCGCCGCCAATCCCCGTGCCATTGAACATGGGTGGCGAGTCTAGGCCATTGGGGTGGCCGCCCATGGCGATGCCGTAGCCACCGCTAGCGTCAGAGGAGCCGCTTGGGCTGTGGTGGCTGATGGCGTCGATGCCAGAAGATGGGCTGGAGGGCTCGGTCTTGATGAAGGACCCACAGCTGGAGGAGAGGTGCCGCTCCTCCGTGGCCATTCTGCCGAGCAGCCTGCAGGGAGAGAGCAAAGGCACTCAGCAACCGCCTGGCCAAACCTGGTTCCAGGTTTAGACAAAAGACAGCCCTCCTTTTGCCACCTCAGTCCAACTCCAGTTCAACCCCATGCAGGTTCTTCTTGAGGAATATCAGTACAATTGGCTAAGACCAGCCCACCTGCTCCCCACAGACTCACACTAGAGTAAAGACAAAGCTCTTCATGTAGATCACAATTTCAGGCTGTTGACAGGCTGCAGTGCTGGGAAGGGGCATGAGTGCTGATGAAGCACAATCTACCCAGAGCACCATCTACCCCGAGACAGCAGAAAGAAACAAGCTGCTGGTGGCAGACCAGGTGAAAAAACTATGTTTGGTTAATAGCTTTATGCAAAAGGTTCAGTAGCATACTCTGCAGAAAGGACCTGCTCAGATTGGATTTTTATTTTTTCTTTTGTAATATGAAGTCTTTGATTAATTTTCAAGTTTGACTCCTTCTCTCACTCCATCTCACCCTTTATCCTGCCCTGCTGCACTATCATCACTAAAAGAGGAGCTTAGAAACAGAAGGAACAATCATGTGATCAAAAGTTTCTTCTGTCTCAATTTTAAATCTTAATCTTTCTTCTATTTACTAGTATTGAGCTTTTGCACGGACACACAAATTTCCAATTGTTATAGAGAGGTTATAGTCTAAAATTTATGGAAAGAACTTCACCATTTCAGTTCAGGAAAGAACTTTTCAAGCACTTTGTATTTATTTTAGTCACAGATAGTCTTATTCCTTATAAAAATGTTCAGTCTTTTTTTGGAAGACTAAATTTTATGATATTTTCAGCAATGAGATTCAGAGATTACTTGTGTGGTGTATGAACAAATCCCAGTTTTATTTGTCTATAATATATTCACAGCCTGTCAGGCTCCCTAAACATCTCCTGACTCTCCTTCTCAGGAAATGTAGTTTTGCCATGTTCTCCTCATTCAGCTCTTCATTATCTATATGATTGCTCTCCATGCAGAAGTTTTTGCAGATCTCTTATCTGCTTCATCATCCATCTCTGAACTTCCTCTAGTCTGGCTATTTCTGTTCAGTCCAGAACAGAGTTCAATGAGCCAGCTCCTCAGCAGCATGGAACTGGCACTGCTCCATCACTTCTCCAGCTGAAGGTCTGGACAGTAGTCAAGGCAAATGCCATCAATTATCTAGTGATGTTACAATATTTTCAATGTTATTTTCAGTCTACATATTATGTAACTTCTTGCACTTTTTGGTTTTTTTTCCCCTCTTTAGATGAAAATCTAAATTGTCACCATTTCTTCAACAAATAGTATCAGGAAGTTACTTACTGCAATGCTCCATTTTATTCCTGAGTTGCCACAGTTAATTTAGAAGCCATTAAGATGTATGAAAAAATCAAATTAATGCTTCTGGTGTGCAACGTTTTGCAATAGTCAACAGTGTATTTCATCTGCTACTATGTGCAGTCCACACACCCAGCCTTAGGATCCTCTGGAGTTCTTAATTCTTCCTTGGTAATTTGATTTCATCTGCAGTCTCACTGCTCACCCACTTCCCAGATCATTAACACATGGATCAAACATCACAATACTGATCTTTGTGGGTAATGCATGTTAACCTTTATCATGCTGAAAATTGACTTCTCTTTCTTTTTGAGTAGGGTCTTTGACACCTTTTAATTGATAATAGTATTAACCAGAGAGGTTAAATTTTCCCTTCAGCAAGACAATTTGTCAAAGGCTTTAAGAAAAACTAAACATGCATTTTCCTGATGACATGGCACAGAATTCTGACTAGAGATGCTTGACTTTTCTTCTTGGAACCTCTACTTGTTTAAAGTTACCACACCATGGTCATGTGAGTAATTTCTATTTCAGTTTCAGCCTATTTACCTGGTATTTGTGGCAACTGCTTCTGCCAAGGGGTCAAATCCGTCAGGGGACAGGACAAAATATTCTGTGAATCAGCAAGGCTGGAGTGCACACTTTCATGTATCACATCTGTGTGTCTGGTGATAGGAATATAGATGTTTGATATGCAGCACATTCACAGTCCTGCATCCTTATGATCTCATTTGACCTAAGTATCTCCTAATTTTCCCTTCTCTGTTTCATCCTCAAAGTTTGACCTCATCTCCTATCTCTGGGATCGATCAGCCAAGTTTGTTTTTTGGCAAGACTGTTGACCTTGAGAATATGGGCAGGCATCTCACGTTCCTCAGCTGCTTTGCCTGGTGTTACTTGAGAGGAATCCAGGGTTTGGGCCCTCTCAGAGACAGTGTGATGAGTTGATAAATGCCCATACTTTGCCCAGAGGGCTACAAATGAACTAGAGGTCATGGAGCAGTTACAGAAATCACTGCAGGTGCATCCATCTCTATTCCCACAGGACACCAAGACATATTGCAGATCTGGTGTAACGACAGCTGACCGTGTGAAGGAAGATGAAACTTTGCTAAAGACTAGATCTTGGCATCTCACAGCAAAGCTGAAACCTGCTGTGCAGGCTCTGGAACCTCTCCCTACCTGAGAAGTGCATCTGTCGTAAAGAAATGAAGATCACTGGACACAGCAACTTGAGATTCAGGTTAAAATGGAAGGCAAAATAACCATAAAGCACTGTTCTGCACCGTGAAACTCCATGGTAAGAGGAGCTGGAGTTGTAATTTTCAAGGCAGACAGAGGAAAACACTATGAAACAGGAATGATAGGGAGAGCTGTACTGGCAGATTCCATCAGTGGAGCCCAAATCCCAACTTCTGTTACTTAAATAGCCCAACATTCACAGACAACCTCAAGAGTGCTTATTGAGGTATTTTCCTTCAGTGGAGAGAAAACAAAAAATAAAAATAAAATAAATTTTAAAAGAAGAAGAAGGAGAAAAAGAAGAAAAAGAAAAATAAGAAGAAAGAAGATGAAAAAGAAGAAAAAGAAGAAAAAAGGAAGAAAAAGAAGAAAAAGGAAAAAAAAATTAAAAAAAAGAAAAATAAAATAAAAAGAACCTGGGGAAATAAGGAGCCTTCTTCCCCCAAGGCATGCAAACAGTGAGTGTTTGATGGTGAATCAAGCCCCCTACATCCTTACAGCTGAGGATCCTCCTGTTCCCTTCCAGCAGGCAGCAGTACATAGCAAGGTCTGGCTGGATGTGAATGCATGCTTGAGAGCTAAAGCCCTTAACACCAAGATAGATCAAAGATTACAGCTAAGGTGACTCCAGCCATTCCAGAGCATGTGCTTTTCTTTTCTGGCTTCTGACTTTCTGCAAGTCCCATGGAGATCCCGTGCTGATTTTTAAACAGTCAGAGTGTCCCCTGGCAATGAGATACAACATCTTGAACTTCAAGAAGAACAGCTAAATGTTTTTTGCAAAGAGTTCAAAGTGATGAACAGCCATTTTGCTTGGCTCTAGTTACCTTAATAGGAATGTAAAAAGGAGAGAGACTTGATCCAACTCTCCTCCGTGCTGGCACAGGAAACTCCGTTACTATTTCTGTGCCCATGTAACAGGCTTAGAGGTTCTAAACATTTCGTTCTTTTCACCTTTCCTCATCATAGGTCATTCCTTCTAATCCCTTTAGCATCTCTGTGGTCCTTCTCTGGATTTGATCCAACTTCCCTGGTCTCTGTTGCAGCAAGGTGCCCTGAACTGCACAGTGCAATGCTGCAGCACTACAGGGGAGAGTCACTCTGGAAAGCACACAGCCAGGAAGACATATGGACCAACAGAGCAGCTTTGCCAGACATCAGGCTGCACATCAGCTCACACAATTTGATGTCCAGTCTCATTGGGACCTCTCGGAACATAAGCTGCTTTGGCCACCGTGCTCTGCACAACATCAAATTTGGAGATTCTCCTTGTTCCAAAGTAGATCCAGTATCATCTTTGAACTACACAGTGCTAATTATTGTTTGTTTTACCAAAGCCTGTTCACAATGCTCATTTTTTCAGCCTAGCTCTTTTTTTTCTACATTGATTTTTTTTTTAATTTTTTTTTAGTATCTTTTGGTTCTGTTATCTGTAAATTTGGGAGTGATCACTTTTACGTTTCTTCCAGGTCACTAGTGAGTATTTACAGTCAAAGCATTGTCCTTTTGGACATCATCTTTGCAGAAGGATAAAGAATATGCGAATATCTCTAACCCTTCTGTTTACACTCTGTCATTTAATCCATGATTCATTTCACAGGATTTGTATCAAAACCAATTTGATCTAATTTCCCTAATAAGATTTTGCACAGCTTTGTGTCAAAAGCCCATGCGTGGTCCAGTCAGTCTATTCACTGCATTGCTTTTGCCCACTAATTATCTAATTGCATCAAGAAAGGTTATTGTCTGCTGTTTCATAAACCCACTGCTGTTTATCACTAGCAGTGTTCTTAACCTTTATGCGCTTGTAACTGTCCTCAGACAAGTGTGCTCTGACCTCAGTGATTCTGGATGTAAATACACAGGTTTAGATCAAGTCAAGACTGTGCTTTAGGTTTTTATCCATTAGCTTTGGGCAGCAATGTTGGTTAATATTACAAGTTTCCTCAGTTCTTCTCCAGCCTTTGATATTTTGCTATTTCTCTGCAATGGCCGGTATTTAGCTATTAAAGGCTTATGAGTTTAATGAGATCTTTTGAGAACAACAGCAATAATAAGAGAAAGAAAGATTGCTAGATGGGGAGGAACAGAAAGGGACAGAAGACTAGAGTTATAAAATTAAGGCAATAGTGTCCCTGATTTTCATTCTTTTATACATCAAGGATTACAAGTTTGGGATTGATGCAGGTAAGGCTATTTTATTGCATATTATTCTGGGTTATTTTTGCCTGAAATAGTAATTTGTAGCTATATTCAGCTCTTTACCCCACTTATGGATTCAGAAATCACAATAACTCAGTAGTCTTTATGTGTAAGTGAGAAAAAAAATATCCACCACTCACACTTGCTTAGCAGGACAGCCAGAACATCCAGCTTTGTAACAGAAGGTAACTTCTCTCCCCCAGAGGAACTTT